GTTAATCACTTCGACCTTACAGATCCATTGTGTCCCCCTTTCTTGAATCATAACTCATCATACAGTCCCAGGGCTTTGACAAAAGCCAGTATCTGGGACGGTTTTATAGAGGGTAGTTCTCCATCTCCAATATCAGTCGTACCAAAATTCATGGCACGAATGGTTGTCGTCTCGGCGCACTCAGTGATGAGGTGTACTGGTGTTTTACCATCTTCCCCACAGAATCTGCATTCGCCGTTTCTTCTTAGTTTCAATCTACTGAGGTGTTCATTGAGGAGACAGTGTCCTGTTAAAAACCCCGTGACAATCCGAAGATTGTTCTTACTCAGACCCAGGAAGATCTGTGATTTTTCTTGATCATAAGCCCTCAGAAACTTCTTCGAGTGTCCTAGTTTATAGTTTATCTACAGTAACTATTACTTATTTTTTGTACGGCGAATTTAAATTTATGGACCGTCCATAAATTTACACCGTAAGCTTGAATATTGGTTAAACCTAGAAATACCCAGGTAATAGCCCGAAATATGCAAAAGAGGGAGTAAGTTTAGGTTAGATTAGAATTAGGTTTTAGTTGGTTTTGCATTAATAAAAATATAGGCCTAATCTAAACTTAACCTAAAGTGACCTTTTTTGGATATTTCGGGCTCCTACGTGGGTAACCCTACGTTTAACCAATATTCGGGCTTTTACGGTAACATAATACTCATTCTGAGTGGTTTTATCTGGCTCCATAATGAAATTGTGGGTTCGAGGTGCTATTGCAAATTAATTCCATTAATTCTATGTATATATAGACATAAAATACATACCTCACATTTCTATAGTGTCGTGACCGTGATCGTGACCATTCATGAATCCGTACACGTTCATCTCCATCATTAATATTTTTCTTACTAAATTCTTCACTTTTTTATAAAAATGCCATCACGATAAAAATCAAATATCAAAATACAATATCGCTATACGTATCTGGAATATATTTGCGAATGGCAATTAGCGATACGTTGCCGGAGTGCTGACTTCACGAATGTCAAATTGCTTTCCAAACAAGCTTTAGTTCTTTTATATTTCTATTGAGCTCTTCCAAATGACGTCACAAGTTAATATAAAATGTAAAAAACAGGTGATTGCTGACCACCGCCGACTTTTGTGTCTGGTATTTTCAATACGCCTATGATGGTTGCGCATGTTGCAAAATCTGTGAATTTTTTTTCTATTTTTCTCTAGAACGGTATGGAAATTTGCAAAAGTAAAACGGCATTAACCAATTCGATATAAGCAATTTTATTTATAACAAATGCATTTTCTTCAAAGTGTTAATAATAAAACATTTAGCTTAAGAAATATACAATATAACCTTAAATATATAAATTTTAATAAGCAGAGAGTAGTATCGACTGACCAGTGAGAAAGGAAATCTAGAAACTAGTGGGGTTGCAGTCGGAAGAGTTTAAAATAGAATTAATACACTTTGTTAATTGTTAAGCTTTCGGAATTTATTCATTCCTTCCTAGGGACATCAACGGGGTACAGGACACCTTCATAAAAAACTACATTAACAAAAATTGGCTTGTGGGATGCATTGAAAACTCCACAGTGAAGGGGGCTCTCTTGGGGCGGTTATCAATCTAAGGCGTGAAGGCGCAAAGCAACCGACAAATGACAACTCTGACATCCATCTGATCTATCCACGTTGATGTCCTGAGGAAGGAATGAATAAATTCCGAAAGCTTGACAATTAACAAAGTGTATCAATTCTATTTTCAACCCTTCCGACTGCAACCCCACTAATTTTTAGATTTTCTAAATTTTAATATATATTTTAGTTTTTTTTATAATTTTAGTTTTTATTTTATTTTTTTATTATTTGGAAATGTTCTCTGTGGGTATCTCGGAAACTACTGGAGATAGAGAGTCGGTTAAATGAGGAAAGAATTATAGTTTTGTGTGGTCATAAATATGCGCCTTTCAGATTTTTGAAAAAGTCCATGGCTCACTAGATATTTCGAAAAAAAAACATATTTCGGCTATTTTAAAAATTGTTCCTTTTTCCATTATAATCAATTTTAGACAAAAAGTTTTCAGATAAAAGTTGTAGATAATCAATCACAGAACACAATGAGTTTGTGTTCTCCTATTTTTTCTAAAGCCCGTCATTTTTGACATATGACACAAACATATGTTTTTAAACGGAAACCATAGTTGGCGATGACTTCATAAAAAGCGCTATTTTTAAAGCTTGTCAGCGATATAAGCTATAATATGTTTTTTTTTTCACAAAATTACTGAGTTATAGCCAATTCTTATCTTACTTGACTAATTTCACTTAGTTAGCCATGGAAACAAGTTCAATCGTCGTTGCTTTCAGAAATATGAAACCGTCACATCCAAATTTTGTAAATTAAAATAAACAAAAATTGTAAATATGAATTTTTAAAATTATTTGTTCAACTCTTCTTGGCTATACGGTTTCGGATACGTTAACCGGTAACGTTACTTACGTTTTTTAGAGAACGGTTTTCAAGACATATCAGAAAAGTTAAATTTATGTTCCAGCTTTGTGGTTCCAGCATAACTTTTATTATGACACACCCCCTTCCTCATTGTAAGAATTGTTAAAAATTATTTATATCATAATTATGTCTCATGTAATTCAGGGATAGAAAGAGGTGGATCAATTGCATGGGCCTGCCCGATCACCTCACCTATCTATTTTAGATTCTTTTATGCGGTATAGTTAACAACAAAAAAATTATGAATTAAGTTTAATAAAGTCGACCGGCCGTTCTGTGAGAATAGCTAGAAATTCAGTTTGAAAAAGATGCATTTATGTACTCAAAACAATGGCGGATTTTTTGAACATTTTCTAAAATAACTTAAAGTGTTGTAGTGATGTTATATTTTTAAGTTTCAGTTTATCTAATGTAAATTGTAAAAAGTCGTTTAATAATATACTTTGTCTTTTTATAAGTTATAAATCATTACAAAATAAGAACGCCATGCCAACTAAGTGAAATTAGTCGAGAAAGATAAGAATTGGCTATAACTCAGTAATTTTATGAAAAAAAAACGTATTATAGCTTATATCGCTGAAAAGCTTAAAAAATGGCGCTTTTTATGAGGCTATGGCCAACTAAGGTTTCTATTTAAAAAAACATATGTTTGTGTCATAGGTATGTCAAAAATGACAGGGTTGAGAAATCGGAGAACACAAACTCATTAGGGATGTGGTTATCTACAACTTTTATCTGAAAACTTTGAGTCTAAAATAGATTATAATGGAATTAGGGGCAAATTTTAAAATACCCAAAATTAGTTTTTTTTAAATATCTAGTAAGCCATGAACTTTTTCAAAAATCTGAACAGCGCAAATTTATGACCCCACAAAACTGCAATTCTTTCCCCATTTAACCAACTCTCTATCTCCAGTAGTTTCCGAGATACCCATAGAGAATATCGTAGAAAACTCACCCTGTATATTTATTGAAAAAGTGTCTACTAATTTCTAGTAATACCTCGAGGATGACAATGTCACCTTCAGTATTATTGTCCCAAGATTTAATCTCTCCAATTGTGTCTTTCGAATGCAGCGACAAAGTGTGCCCCGTGTAGGTACTTGTGAAAAACTGATAACACGCATCACAAGTATATGCGTGAGGTCGCACACGCTCTGTACAGGGTGTCCCAATTCCGTCTGTTTTACGGGGTTTCTCGTTTACGAGTATAGCTACAAATATGCGGTTTCACATCAAGTGCTACTTTTTTTATGAAACTGAAGATGCTATACACATATTGGTCCTGGACCTCTTACTTCCTTAAATACAGGGCGAAAATTTTCAAATATTTTACTTTTTTCAACTCTCCTCGTATCTCGTGGCGTAAGTAGTTTTTTTCAGCTGCTATATTAACGTTATGATTTTAGCCAAGTTTGAAACACCCTACGCAATGGTTTAACGCTGTAAGGAATATAAAAACAACTTTAACTATTATTTACTTTTTTTTCCAATAAATTTCAAGTAAAATATAACAAGAGAATTCGAGGTGCCTTTTTTTCAAATTAATATATTTTTAAAATATATGCAATATTGATTTGAGTAGTTTAGTATGACTTTTCTCTATAACAGCGACATCATAAAAGCAATTCATAGATGTCTGGATAAGGACCAAAATCAAAGGCATGCTGTTAAAATTGCTGTAAATCATCACTGTCTCCTTCAAAAGCAAATATCTCTAATAAAAATATTTACAGCTATTGAGATGAACCAAAAATCGAGAAAAGGTGCACCTTAATGATAAAATGGTTTTTAAATTTTTTACCTTATTAAATTATTCCAGGATGTTTCAACTATCGCCAAAATTATAAAGTAAAACATACCTATTAAATTATTGATAATGCAAAACAAAACTTATAAAAAGTCATATATAAAGCAATCAAATATACGTTTTAAAAGTAGTGATCTCAGACTGAACTGTAAAATTATAAAATATCCAACTTTGTATACAGTTTAGGTCTAGAATGAACTTTCAACATTGCGAAGAACAGATATTATAAAAGCACACATCAATTTCATGGTATTTAGTTCAGTTATTTCTACCATTATTGGAATTATCACTGCATCACCACTATGAAGCTTATAAATTAAAACTTAAAAAGTTGCTTTTTTTATTGTATACATGTTGAATAAGAGGATCACTAACTGATCTTTTATATCACAGTAAAATTAAGATAATTACAAGTTAAATGTAAATTACAAATAAAATGAAAAATATATTATATATTGTAGTGATAGATCTACGATTATCAAACATTTGAGACTGTAAAAACATTCAAAAAATAATCTATATTAGCAAATATAAATGAATAGTCAAATTATATAAATAAAATATTATAACTGTAGAAAAAATAATTAAAACTAAAAATGAATTTTTTCATTTTTAATCCTGAAAAAGTAATATATCGCGTAACTATTTAATATCATATTATTCTCGTTTATATAATTATGTTAGTAGTTATGTTCGGTAGTGAGAGATGGGTTCTCACCAAGAGACAAGAAAGCTTAATACAAGCAGTAGAAATGAAATACCTAGGAAAAGTGCTAGGGATTACGAGGATGAATAAACTACGCAATTCCCATATTAGAGAGCAGCTGAAAGTCCAGCCAGTACTAACAACTATCGAAAACTGCCAGTTGAGGTGGTACGGACATTTGAAAAGACTCAACAAAGAGAGACAAGTAAGAAGAGTATGGGAGGCAAAAAGGCAAGAAAAAAGGAAAAAGGGTAGACCTACAACTACTTGGGATCAAAATGTTGCAAAATTACTTAAAACTAGAGGGATCGGCTGCGCCGAAGCAGCAAGCATGGCCCTGGACAAGAAGAAGTGGCAAAATTTTATTTATGGAAAGTAGCTACTAGAAGCCTACACCTTCGCACCTTCGCGTAGAAGGCCCTCGATTATATATATATATATATATATATATATATATATATATATATATATATATATATATATATATATATATATATATATATATATATATATATATATATATATATATATATATATATATATATATATATATATATATATATATATATATATATATATATATATATATATATATATATATATATAATTATAAACGGATATTAGGTATTTATGACGCGGTAAAAATGAAAAACTAGTCACTACATAATTTAACCACTTTTTAAAAGAGAAGTACAGATATACAATTCGTGAAAGACGTGAATCACGGCGTTTTAAATAGAACTAATTCTTTTTCAACAAAAGTAGTTTGTTTAAACCTATGCGTCAAAAAATGCTAGATAGAGGGCTACTATGCTAGATTGACATTCTTTTTGGTAGTATAAATAATGTCGTATAGTATAAATAATGTCGTAATGTGTATCTAAGGCTGAGGTATCATAACCGATCAGGAGCTTCCTTAAACATGAAGTTACTAGGATTGGCATTAGTTGCAGTTCTGGCACTTGCCACTATTCAGGTAATTACCAATAATTATTGAAAAATTAGTTAACTTTTTTTAATTTTGTGTAATAATTAAATGGATAATATAAGTAGGTATCCAGTAAATTATTTCAATATTTTATTCTCATATTTTTATTAATTTTATACTATTATAATTATTCCTAATTCTGTTATTTTAATGCGTTATGGTCCTCTAATCACTTAAAAATATTTATGTATTAAAATGATCTTCGCTTTCTTAATACAACTAATTATAATTTATTATAAATTCACTATGTATCTCTCTACTGACCATCTATTTTAGACAAGCGAAGCCTTCAGTTTATTTGGGTGGCATAAAGCAAAACACGTAGCAGCACCACTAGCTGATGAAGCTGGGCCTTCTCCACCTTCTGACTTACCAACTCCACCGTCACCACCATCTGGCGCACCCATTAATGTAGTGAAGGATCAGCCTTCTCCACCATCTGACTTACCAACTCCGCCGTCGCCACCATCTGGCGCTCCCATCAATGTAGTTAAGGACCAGCCTACTCCACCATCTGACTTACCAACTCCGCCGTCGCCACCATCTGGCGCACCCATTAATGTAGTGAAGGACCAGCCTTCTCCACCATCTGACTTGCCAACTCCACCATCACCACCATCTGGCGCTCCCATCAATGTAGTAAAGGACCAGCCTTCTCCTCCCTCTGACTTACCAACTCCACCATCACCACCCTCTGGCGCTCCCATAAATGTAGTAAAGGACCAGCCTTCTCCACCCTCTGACTTACCAACACCACCATCCCCACCATCTGGTGCACCCATTAATGTAGTGAAGGACCAGCCTTCCCCACCATCTGACTTACCAACTCCACCATCACCACCATGTGGCGCCCCTATCAATGCAGTGAAGGACCAGCCTTCTCCACCATCTGACTTACCAACACCACCATCCCCACCATCTGGTGCACCCATTAATGTAGTGAAGGACCAGCCTTCTCCACCATCTGACTTACCAACTCCACCATCACCACTATCTGGCGCCCCCGTCAATGTAGTGAAGGACCAGCCTTCTCCACCATCTGACTTACCAACTCCACCATCACCACCATCTGGCGCTCCCATCAATGTAGTGAAGGACCAGCCTTCTCCACCATCCGATGGACCATCTCCACCATCACCACCACCAACTGCTTATATTTTCTAAATTGAGAATTTAGCAAACCCTGTATTCTAAGACAATGTATTTTTTAATTTTTGTAAATATATAAATTAATATATTACATATTTTAATAGTTTTTGTCTATATTAAAAATCAGTATATCTATTAAAAATATCGTATCTTATCAATTGTTTTAGGCATGTAACTAAAAAAAAATAATTACCAATTAATTACTATTTCTAACTCAGGAAACAATATAATTTAATTTCGAATAAAAGATAATTCATATAATTGGAAATCTAATATTAATATTCTTATATACATAAATCCATTTTATTAAAAGATAAATAATGATATTAAGAAGTAAATATCCATTTTTTTAAACTTTAAAGGCATGCTAAAAACAATGTATTATTAATAACTGTCTTAGCATATAAGGCAACTGTGCCCTGATATAATAATATCAGGTAAATCCCATAAAAAAATCGACATTTTCTAATTCTACTAGATAATATTCAAAACTATTTATGCTAAACCGTCTATTCTTGAGGAAGTTCTGAAAATATTTAAAGAATCCTATTGGAGATTTATATGCTTATTAGATTTTCCAAAGAAGGAGCACTTCAAGTCTTATCTTAAAAATTGTACTCAGACTGTAATACAGAGGATTCTGGTTGATGCTTTATTTAAATAAATGTTTCTATACATATTTCTCAAGTTTTAATACTGGAACCATTGATGGTACACATATACTAGTTACCTCAGTACACTAAGTTAATGAAGAGGTGTTGAGAGTAATAATTGTTCTATTATTTATTCAAATGCTTAGTATAGTCTTTCTAACGACAAAACGACATACAAAGGTGAATGCAGTTTTCAGTAAAACTACCTCCACCTTTACATGAATTTAAGTATACATTTTTTGGACTTATTTGAAAAAGGATAAAGAGAAAATATGTTTCTTTTGTCGAGATCTACCATCCCAGAAAATACTTGCACTTATTTCTGGGACACCCTGTATATTATAATACTATATAAAAATGATTTGTATACCACATATACATTCTATTCATCAGCGTGTGAATCCATTAGACTTCTAAAGGGTAGGGATTTATTTTGAAATTTATGTACAAGTGACAAAAAAAAACGCTGTTCGAATACATTTCATTCGCAACCTCTAGTGCAGAAAAAGGTTCTTTGGATGTTAGACTATAATTTCAAATCGTTGTCAGAAAATATGTTGCTTTATATCTTTTTTGAAACAGCTGTATATTGATCAAGATAACTTCTGCCTTCATCAAATTATCTTCTAGTCCTTTCCAAATTTCTACCGACATGCGATATTTCGACCTGTAGTACCTAAGTATTTTACACTTTGACAATAGATAATACTAATTTGATTCTCGACTTAAGACTAGTTCCGAACAGTAATGTATTGTGTAAGGAGTAAAAATTATCCTATTTTTGACGAGGTTGTAAGTTTGACGGACTAGAGTAAACAGGGAGGCACAAAAATACATTTTTACTCCGAGTAGATAATATAGTAGGTAAATTACCTATATAGGTAATTTACCTACTATATTTTTTCAAACATTACAAATATTTTTTTAATCAATTTCAAACATTGCAAATAATACCTTTTAAGTAATCGAGTAACAATTTGTTCAGTCGTTGAAATTGACGCTTAATATCAATTTAATAATATATTTTTGTACTTTTATGCTTAGGCGTAAAACTGCTTTATTTTTATGCCAAGGCGTTGAAAGGACAAAAATTAATTCTCTTATGTAACATCTCTTGTGACATTTGAAAAAAAATCCTTTTGATCTGAAGAGGATCTTTTTTGGGGAATATATTTGTGACCGATGTGGGAAAATGACACGTGCCGTAGAATTGTTAATGTTATCTTTATCGAGCAGAATTATGAAGATTTAGCCATTTAGAATAGGACTTTAATTAGAATTAAGTCCTAATTATTTGGAAATTCAATTTAAATAATGTTTTGGATTAAAATCAAAAAAATCTGATTTAAATAAAAAAAAAATGATTTTTTTATTTTTTTTTAATCATGATTTTTTCCAACCCTGGTTTTCACCTTTCTCGTACTTTTTCTTGGTTTTTGTAAAAGTAAAATATTGAAGCAATTAGCAAAACATAGTCACTCATTTTTTTAAAGTTTGATTCCCTCTAACGGACAAACGAAGCACTTTATATGAACTTATTTTGATTCCATAATTACATAGTAGTTCTATGTCAACGGAATATTGGGACACCCTGTATTCTCATCCATAGTTAAAAAATATTAGAAACTTTCTTTTACTGAAATAGATAGATTTGTATCTGCATTTTTTCAGTCATCGTCTGTCGAAATCTTCCCTCAGTCAGAAAACAGAGTCACAAATTAACTATAACAGATGCGAAAGAACACCGAATTACGCGTTCAGGTTTCTGTGACCTTCAGAAAGTGTTCATAGACAATCCGCATCAATGTATAGTTTGGGTTATTATTTGTTTGGGTGAAAATAATCTGCACCAATATATTATCGAGGCATACAAAAACGTCCACAGACTTCGAGACATACGAAAAATCAAGTCCATTTAGCGTGTGTCGCAATTTTCACACCTTAAAAAAATAGTTTTTTATACCTATAGCAATTGCAGAGACTATGAAAAAAGCTGTGTGATTTTCATAGAAAATAAGGGCACTTGTAATTCATTTAAGAATGTTATAAATCGCTAAAAGAGGTTTCAAATCTCTTGGATTTCTATTAATATTAAATAAATTTTATTAAAAATTGAACTAAAATTGTTAGTATCATTAAAAACAATTCAAATTCAAAAAATTTATCAGTCAAATTCCCTCATTTAAGGTGAATATAAAGTAAATATAAATACAGCTCATTCTAAGCTCTACTTATCTTTAAGAAAAATTTAAATCATTGTTGCAATTGGGCCTTAATGCCATTTCGAATGAACAATAGTATTAATAATGTACATTATAATAATAATAAATTTTATATCATAGTGTGTATTAAAACTACTAAAACACTTTTAAATTGGTATTATATTAACAACTTTTGTTTTTTAATCCAAAAAAAAGTTACCAATTTTCTCAATCAAAATATTTGTGGTCCTGAAAAGGACCTTCGTTTTCCCATGTTCGTCAAGGTAGGTAATGGGTAAACGGTAAAAAAACAGGATAATGAAATTTAAAAAATTACAAAAATTGTTCAAAAGTGCCTCCCTCTTGCATTAAACAATAACCCAAACGATCATAAAATCCCCTCCTCACATTGGATAACATATCAGGGGTGACAGTGTCAAAGGCATTAAATATTTTCTGCCTTAACTGCTCCAAGTTTTGAATTTCTTCATGGCCGTAAATTTTAGATTTTATGTACCCCCATAAAAAAAATCATTCACCGAGAAGTCAGGTGAAATTAAACGTCAGTCTAAACAAAACTGTAATTTTTGAAAACTTGTCAAAATTTGGACACACGCTAAATGGACTTGATTTTCCTATGTCTCGAAGTCTGTGGACTTTTCTGTATAATCTCGCAGTAATTTAATAGATTGTTCGTCATATTATATCAGCTCGTAGGTGATTAGGAAAAAAAAGATATTTATAGTATAAAAAATTAATTTATTTAACAAAATTTAATTAAAGATGTGACAAAATAGTTACATTTCTATTGGTTCTATCGGACTTTTTTCAACTATATAAATCTTTATTTTTTGTAAACTTTAATGAATAAAATATTTTCAATCTAATAAATAATTTAATGATGTAAATAAGAGGAAATTTCTCACATGGGTGGTCAAATTCTATAGTTTTCATTATATCAAACAGCCTCTGAACGTTTTCTTCAGTGCAAAACTCATCAAAATTTAATTTAAATAATTTTTCCAGCCTGTAAATAAAATGAACAAATTTTTCCACTTTCATGATCAAAGGCTTTTAAATGGGTAAATAATTTCGAGTTATCCAGAGATTCGGATTTTTTTGCAAATTTTAGACAAATATCACATTGATGTATTTGAACACCCTTTTTAATGATGTAGTCAAACATAATTAAAGGCATTTTGAGTTGAAAACATTTCTCAGAGGCTGTTTGATATAATGAAAACTATAAAATTTGACCACCCATGTGAGAAATTTCCTCTTATTTACATCATTAAATGATTAATTAGATTGAAAATATTTGATGTATTAAAGTTTACAAATAAAGATTTATATAGTCGAAAAAAGTCCGATAGAACCAATAGAAAGGTAACTATTTTGTAACATTTTTAATTAAATTTTGTTAAATAAATTAATTTTTTATACTATAAATATCTTTTTTTTCCTTATAAATAAACACATTTGCATCCCATTTTAAATAAGATATACAAATTACCAAAACTTAGAAATAACAGTTCAAAAGTTCAACAAAAATCCTACACGCGTTTTTAAAAAGAAACATATAACCACGCACTATGTCATTCCAGCAAGCGAATACGACACAGCATAGGTTTCCGGACTAAACGACTGGTGTATTTACACCACTCAATAGGCGTGTCGGGTTTGCCAAGCGGTTTCCGATGCAGTCGCTTTCTTTTGCATCTGTTATAGGTAATTTGTGACAGAGTATACAAACGTATTTTTTAAAACCTCAATCAAACTCGAAACAAACTAATCAGATTAGTGAAACCTGTCTTCCTTTAAAATCTTCATGGTTTAGTTCCATGTTACTATCTTATCATTTCTTTATCCTTACTAGTATCTTATCCTTATCTTGTATCTTAATCAATTCCACTTTTACAAAAATACCTTCAGAAGCTATGTCAATGTCCAGTACTATACATATATCAGGTGGTGCATCAGCGTTGGAAACATAGGGAATCCCATATTATCCCCCCATAATAGGTTTTTAAAGGCCTGGGTATATTGAATATACATGCCAAAAAAACTCAACAATTTTGGATAAGCCGTTTTTAACTGATTTAAAAATGCATCTAAGTATTTTTAAATTAAAACTGAACAGGTAACAACGCAAAACCAGACAAATGTCAATACACCTTAAGTCCTCAACCTATGATTTTGTAAATTTGTTGTTCTGCTTAACGCTAATACGTTATAGTACCTATAGTTAATGTGCCCGAAATGCATTTTTCTAATTTAAAACTTGTTGCGGCAAAAGCCTAACGTTTAGAAAATGTAATTTGATATTGACAAAATTATAAGTTGACAACATAAGGCATTTGCCTGGATTTCCATTGTTACCTGTTCAGTTTTCATTTAAATATTGTTACAGTTTTTCTTAAATTACTGAAAAACGGCTTTTCCAAAATTGTTCAAAGTTGGTATGTGTATTCAGCATACGGCAGAGCTTTAAAAAATCTATTTATCTACGTCAGTGAATTAAGAAGCTCTTAACTCACGCATTTTCATTACCGCACTCCTTATTTAGATGACTACCAAAAAGAAAAAAATATTTTGTAAAACATTTATTTTGCACTAAATTGGAAAAATATGTTATTTATGAGTACCTTTTCATTTCCATAGTTGCGTGAACTTTTTTTTGATGTACCATTTTTCATACGTAGAGTATGCATATCCATACTTCTGTTTCGATCTTGCTGGAAGCAATCCAGAAATGGCTCTGAATACCTCTTCTTCAATGTCAGACGGAATACTTTCCGAATCGCTCATTTTTTAAACTAAGTAGTCACATCAATATTATTTACTGTCATATTGACATTGCCATGCATGGTGTTATTTGAACAAAGGTATTAAGGTAATTGATTTTTAGGATAGGTATATAGTTAAGTACAATAATTTTTAAAATTCATTGTGTGTTTTTATAGTTAGTACATAGATAAAATATTGTACAATACACGCGAGTTAACTCCATTAAAATACTTGTTTGGTTACACAACTCGTTGCATTAATTTAATTAAAAACAATTTCTTAAATTCATTTAACTTAATAAACTAAAATATTTCTATTACATTATTGAAAATGAAAATAAAACTTGTCATATATAAACGACTTAAAATTAACTTTAGACTGAACTGTAAAGTTAAACTACGTCCAACGTTTTGTATTGTTTGAGCATAGAATGAACTTTCAACATTACGATGAACAGAATTATTTTGTAAATGCACAAGGTACATATTTAGTTTGACTACTTTACTGAACATCCCCTATATCGCCACTTTGAAGTTTATAAATCGAATATAGCATAATTTAACCATGGTCGTATCTATTACGGTTTCCGAGATAGCAATGCTCGTACCTCAAATTTGTAGCACCTTGTATATACCACCTTTGATACAGTCTAATAAAAAACCAAAAGAGCCTGGCAACAAAAAATATCCAAATAAATACTTTTTAGCACAAAAAGAAGCTTAGATAAACCCAAGAAAGATTATTAAACCATCTAAACCAGAAACAATCAAAATAGCTCTTAACTTATTATTATAAAATGAATTAAAATTAAAGAACATTGTTTACCTATACATTGACTTTTATTATTTATAAGATAAGTTAGTATTATTAAGGCATTTTCATATATAATAATTCATCAACATTTTTGCAGATTTTGAGATTTTCCTTTTTGGATGATTTGTTTAATGCTCACTCCGAATGAAATTCAGTAAAAGTGTAAATCAAATACTTTATCAAAAATAATTTTTAATAATATACATATCTTATAGTTTTATAAACAAAATATAATAGTTGAATTCAAAAATAGTAAAAATATTTCTAGATGTTTTGACTATAACGTTCACTTTGAATAAAATGTAGTGAAAATTAATATCTAGTAGCTTATCAAACTTTTTTCTTATTAAACTATCTTATATTTTTATAAGCAGAAATAGTATTTGAATTTAATTTTTAATCAAATTTTAAATAAGTATCTTGTAAACATCAGATTTTAGATTATAACAAAATAAACAATCCACTACGGGTACGCGAGTTGATTAGCGGGACGTAGATGCTATTATTAAAATGCTGTTTGTACATCCAACCAAACCAAACAATTTTATTTATTTCAACCTTACAGGATTTATATTGAATATTTCCAAAGAAAAATGCTTAAATAACATCAAAATCTGACACTAGTAGAAAAAATATTCAACTTTAAAATACATGAAAATTTTGAGGTTTCTATTTTTCGTTCCTGTAATAATTAATAAATATAAACAATGAGAAATTTGTGAATTAGAATATTACAAACCGCACTATAATCTTGGCTTCCATAAAACATAAAAAAATTTAGTCCTGTTTTAAAAAGCGAAACATTAATAATAATAATAATTTCATTACTATTAAATGGAATTGCATTAATTTAATTAAAAACAATTTCTTAAATTCATTTAACTTAATAAGTTAAACTATTTCTATTACATTATTGAAAATGAAAACAAAACTTGTCATATATAAACGACTTAAAATTGACTTTAAACTGAACTGTAAAGTTAAACTACGTCCAACGATTTGTATTGAGCATAGAATGAACTTTCAACATTACGAAGAACAGACGATTTTATATATGCACACATTTCATTTAAGATTTAGTTTGACTACCTTTACTGAACATCCCCTGTATCGCCACTTTGAAGTTTATGAATCCAGCTTAAAAGGTTCACTTTATTCATAAGGAATATCAAGATCTGTCTAATTGATTTTTTTGTACCACAGTAAAAATAAGATAATTACAAGATAAATATAAATTAGAAATAAAGTCGAATTAAAAAAAATCGAAAATATTGTGCTGATAAATCTAAGATCTAAGATCATGAAATATTTCAGAGAAATATATAATATATATTAAGAATAATCTATTTTAGCAAATAATATAAGCTATGGAAAAATAATTCAGACTAAGTTTTTTTTTTCGAGTCCACCATAAGTAATATGCCGCATAACTATTTAATAATATAACACATTATATAACTATTTGTTAAAAGTATAGATATTCAATACAGACTTACAAGAAATAAACATTTATAGAAAAACGTGAATCACGGCGTTGTAAATAGAACTAATTCTTTTTCGATAAAAGTCATAAGTAGTTTTGATAAATGTATGCTTAAAAATGCGCTAGATAAAGGACCTAACCACTTGACATTCCGCATCGAAGTATAAATATGACCGGTGTCTAAGGCTAAGGTATCATAACCGATCAGAAGCTTCTCTAAACATGAAGTTACTAGGATTGGCATTAGTTGCAGTTGTGGCACTTGCCACTGTTCAGGTAATTTCCAATTTTATTATTAAAAACTTAAGTATGCTTCTGATTTTGTATATTAAGTGATGAGAAGATAAAAATAACCATTTTAAGTAATTATTTCAATATTTTAGTTTAATATTTTTAATAATTTTGTTTATATATTTTTATAATTATTTTTTTATTACGTGATGTTAATTTATCTTAAAACTTTCTTTGTTTTCTTAATACAACCACACTCTAAAGTCTATGATACAACTGATAACAATTTTGTTATAAATGCACTCTATAGTTTTCGATTTTTTTTTAGACCAGCGAAGCCTTCAGTTTATTCGGTTGGCATAAAGCAAAACACGTAGCAGCACTAGCTGATGAACCTTCTCCACCATCTGACTTACCAACTCCACCATCCGGTGAGCCATCACCACCACCACCACCATCTGGTGAACCTCTTAAAGTAAAGGATGAGCCTTCTCCACCATCTGACTTACCAACTCCACCATCCGGTGAGCCATCACCACCACCACCACCATCTGGTGAACCTCTTAAAGTAAAGGATGAGCCTTCTCCACCATCTCCACCATCTGACCTACCAACTCCACCATCCGGTGAGCCATCACCACCACCACCATCTGGTGAACCTCTTAAAGTAAAGGATGAGCCTTCTCCACCATCTGACTTACCAACTCCACCATCCGGCGAGCCATCACCACCACCACCACCATCTGGTGAACCTCTTAAAGTAAAGGATGAGCCTTCTCCACCATCTGACTTACCAACTCCACCATCCGGTGAGCCATCACCACCACCACCACCATCTGGTGAACCACTTAAAGTAAAGGATGAGCCTTCTCCACCATCTGACTTACCAACTCCACCTTCTGGTGAACCATCACCACCTCCACCTCCATCTGATGAACCTCTTAAGGTAATAAAAATAATAATATTCTTTATTAAGCATATAGGTACTTACAATGTGTAAAATTACATACTACATCAAAATACATATTTTGATATAATTTGCTTAAATGGCAAAGTCTAGCTAACAAATAAATGGCAGCTATTCAAACTTAACCTATACTTAATTAAAAATATATTTATTTATATCAAATTTCCTCCATCGGTAAAAAAAATGAACAAATTAAGGAATGAAAAAGAATGAAATTTTTAATTCGAAAATATATTTATAATCCAAACAAAGCTTACTTAAAATTCCTCTGGAACAAACCCAGCAGCGGAGATACGGAATAATTCATAAAATTGTTATAGGTAGTGAAGGATGAGCCTTCTCCACCATCTGACTTACCAACTCCACCATCCGGTGAACCATCTCCACCACCACCACCATCTGATGAACCACTCAGACGCAGAGCAGTAAAAGACGAACCATCTCCACCATCTGACTTACCAACTCCACCATCCGGTGAACCATCTCCACCACCACCACCATCTGATGAACCACTCAGACGCAGAGCAGTAAAAGACGAACCATCTCCACCATCTGACTTACCAACTCCACCATCCGGTGAACCATCACCACCACCACCACCATCTGGTGAACCTCTTAAAGTAAAGGATGAGCCTTCTCCACCATCTGACTTACCAACTCCACCATCCGGTGAACCATCTCCACCACCACCACCTACTGCTTATATTTTCTAAACTGAAAATTTAACACGCCTTGTAAGATAATGTATTTTTTTAATTTTTGTAAATATATAAAATAATATATTATTTTAATATTTAAAAATAGTTTTTGTCTACACTCAGTCAGTATACCTATTCAAAATTTCGTATCACATCAATAGTTTCAGTCTTGTAACTAAAAAAACCCAATTACTAACGAAACAACATAATTTCATTTGTCATATGACATAATTCAAAATTTTATAATGCTAATTTTAATATTTTTATGCCTACCGTCCCATTATATGAAAATACAAAATACCAAGTGATATTAAGAATTAAAAATCCATTGATTTAAACTATTAAAGAGACGCTATAAAATGTTGTGTAACTATATATAGGTACTTTATAATTAAAACAATAACTACGTCAACATATAAAACAACGGTACTAAAATATAATATTACCTGATATTTAATATATGTACAGGGTAGGTCAAATTGGACGCTTTTAAATGGAAACACCCTTTTTGTATAGGAGATAGACGAAAACTAATATCGGTGTCTGGAGCTCAATTTTCATAAAAAATATGATGGTGAAAACCGCACATCAATATCTGTTACCGTTTCGGAGTTACGGGGTGTTTTTCAAAAATGTGCATTTTTAACAATTCGCTGTAGCTTTTTTGCTCTGGAAAATGTTGTATTTCTATGAAAACATTTCCAAAGCACGTTTTTACCTAGAATTTAATGGTTTAAGTATAATTTTTTCGCGTTGACGCTGCTTGACGTATTTTGAAGAAGTTTTTTGAAGAAGTTTAAACTGCTTGACGTATTTTGAAGAAGCATAATTTCTAGATCAAATTTTGTCCATTTTAGAATTAACAAGTACTTAGGTACTGAATTTGGTGAATTGTTTAGTGTTTAATAAATAAATTTTCTTTATTACTACTTCAACTCTTCTTACGTTGACATCTCTACGAAATATATTTGATTTTTTAAAGATTCTATTATCCTTACTTTTTGGAACTTTTCATAAAGAACATGAGTTATTTTTGATAGATCTCTCTAGAAGAAAATTATAAAACGGCCTACACACGTAACGATTTATCGTACTGCGCGTTGAACTGCAGATCGTAAAGAAAATCGTACGGCTTGCAGTACAGCCATTTTTTGTACACACGATGCAACACATTGTACTGCCGCAAGTACCGCAGTTCAGCTTATTCACTTTTCGTCGAAAAGGGCTACCGTTATGTCAAGAATTTCAAAGAAAAAAGCTGCCGTGCTTGTAGCTGCGTTATTGCTGATAGATGAAGATGATGAACAAAAAGAAATCAAAAAGCGAAAATGGTGTAAGAAGTGGTTGCTGGAGAGAAAGAAATATTCACATTTGAGGTTGGTAAAAGTACTGGAAAAAGAAGAACCTCTTGATTTTAAAAATTATTTGTGTGATGGATTTAGTTTGTAATAAAATTGCGGCGCTGCGGCACGGAATAAATACACTCCACACGTTCAGACTTGCGTTCAAACCCCACCCCAGACACGACCCGTTGATACGATATTTTACGAAAGCTCCGTCTCCGAACTGCAAACGATTTGACGACTGCATACTGCAAACCATTCAATTTCCCTACACACGCTACGATTTATCGTTAATGCGGCAGTTTCGATGGATATCGTACTACATGCAGTACGATAAATCGTTACGTGTGTAGGCCGTTTAATGGTTATATTATTCTATTATCGTGACATAACTTAAACGGGCCACACATTATACAATTTATCGTACTGCAGGTTGTATAACACAAATTTGATGCGACCGCGACCGTTTGAACGACAGATCGGATGCACTGTTGTCGACAAACTTAAACTATTAGTTTAATGTCTGTCGTACAATAAATTGCTTCCCAGTTGATTTTGTCTTGTTCCAAAGATTCCAAAGTAGCATCCGCTTTATTATATAACATGCACTTCTTTAATTTTTGTTTAAGTATTCGGAATTTTTCGGTATTAGAAGGGATAATCAGACCCACGAAATTCTACTACAAATAGGTTTGTCGTGGGCGGCATTCGGCAAACTAAGGCATATACTGAGATCTGATATTACCATATATGTTTAAGAAGAAAGATCTTTCACCAGTGTGTCTTGCTTGTCCTCACGTATGGAGCTGAAACGCTTACCTTAACAAAAAAGAACATACTCAGAATACAGCTCATGCAACGGAAAATGGGAAGGTCCATGTTGGGACTTACACTCAGAGGTAAAATACCCAATCATACAATACGAAATCGAACAGGAGTAAGAGATGTGGTGATACCTGTCTTGCATCTTAAATAGAATTGGGCAGGACATATGGCTAGGATAACAGATGGACGGTGGACAAAGAGACTTGTGGAATCAAGGCCAAGACATGAGGCCTATAGAAGCAGAGGACGAACTCCTAGTCGATGGACAGATGACATTAAGAGGGTGGCTGGAAACTGGATTAAAGTGGCACAAAATAGAAAGAAATGGCTAAAGTTAAGGGAGGCTTTTGTTCAGCAGTGGACGGTATAAGCTAAATGATGATAATGATGATGATGATTCGGAATTTTTTACATCCCACACACCGATGCATGCAAACGATATATGTTTATAAATTCTGACCAAAACTTTTTATTTTCAATTTTTATGCACTGTATTGTACTTAATTTGCCACGAAAAATGTTTATATTTCGTTTCAACAAGAAGTGCTTGCACACAAACTATCAAACCTTTCGTATCTAGATACTAATACATTGTACCACAGATTTTATGCATGCTATACTTCCATACGATACGACAGAGTCGAGCTGCAAGTTGTACTACAATGCCCCTACCCAACGATCCAACCATTCATCCAACGCAACGGTCGAAACGATTTAGTGTTGTACAACTTGTACGATAAATCCTATAATGTGTGGCCCGTTTTATGATAGTTTGACCAGAACCGGATTATTTTAAATTTTCTTCTTATTTAGTTTTTTTGTATCTCTCGTAACTCAAAATGAATTCTTATAAATTATTCAAAATGAACAATTTGCTTAATTTTAAGGAACTATTTAAAAAGTTTCAAATAAAATTTTCTGTAAAATAAAATAGCGAAAACTTATTCATCATTTTTAAAATTTACATGGGATTTTCCGAGGAATTTTCTATGTTCAGGTCGACGATGCAACACACGGTATAAGAGTATTAATAAGAGAAAAATGTAATATAGCATTAATATATTATTCAAAAAAAAAATAAAGAAAAATTAAGGAATATCCTACAATACATCTTAAAATATATGTTAATTTAGTTGGAGGACAAAGTTTATTGGGAGGTATCCCAGCTGGCTCTGCCGCCTATAATTTAAGAGATTAGTCACATGGTGTGGATGGTGGAGAAGGACGTGGTGGTGGAGAAGGTCTTGGACGTGGAGAGGGTCTTGGTCTTGGAGAGGGTCTTGGACGTGGTCCAGGCCTACCTGATGGTGGTGGTGGTGGAAACGGTTTGGTAGAAGATGGAGGAGAAAGAACTTCTTTTTCTACTTCAGACTCGACATAGGATGCTGGAAGATCTTCTTTTGTCTCCTTTTGCTTTCCAAATAAACTGAGTGCTTCGCTTTTCTGGAAAAGGTTCACGTAATATAAGATTCAAAAATCATTAATCCAACAATATCAATAAATTAAAATAAAAAATAACTAGTAACTCTCATTTTAACTCAAGACCCCCCCCCCTTCCCTTCATTTTATAGTCTTCTACAACTCTCATTTTACTGAAAAAATAAGTTTAAACAGAAAAAGAGAACATTTTAACATAACAAAAATGATTAAAAATAAATATAAGTTAGTAAAAGTTTTTTTTTCACTTTAAGAAATACAAAATATAACTGAGAGAAAGATTGAATAAAAAAAACTATTGTTAAAATACCTGAATAGTGGCCAGTGCCACAAATGCAAATACTGCCAATGTTAAACCCTTCATTTCTAATTAAACCTTTGACTGGTTGTGATATTCGCAATATAGAAAACAGCTTTATTTATACTACTAAACGGCAGGTGGTGGGATGTTTTTATCCTTCATATTTTGAAATTTAAAATATTAATATTTCAAAATTGTTTTTTGCGTTAGTAATTCTTGATTTATTGTCTAGATATATATAATCAGATTCGTGGAAAGCGCAATGACAATAACAAATTTGTAATCATTTTTTGATTTTATGTATGGATCTATCGAATTAACTTTTAGTAATCGGTTTAGTTTAATTTTAGTTAATATGCCGTAGGTTCTAGTTTACAGTAAACTAGATAATATTTTTTTTTAATTATTTTATTTATTTCTTTTAGTAAATAAAAAAAAATAAAATATTTTTTGTGAAAGCGTTTCAAAATTGACAGTTTTTGATATTTATTTGGGATTCGAAATGACATTCATTCAGGCACTAGTATCTAAAAGTGACACTTGTTTAAGCACTAGTAAGTAGTAAGTGCCTAAAAGTAAAAAATCAAACGTTAGAAACAATGAAAATATATATTTATTATAAATCTGAAAGGTACAATAATTATTTAAATTATTTAAAGTGAATACAAGAGGCATCCAACTTTTCATCTCTAAGAGAAATGCAAGTTGAAGGAGTCGGAATAAGTAAATAGGCTAGCAAATACCTTTTCTGTGAAATTCTCAACATGTTTTTCTTTGACCCAGGTTTCAAAGTTGTTGTAGGTGGTCACGTATAAGTTTTTCGACTTCCCGGTCCCGGGCACTAACGTGGATAGCGCAGTTTCAGCAGCTTGTTGAATATCCAAAGACTCGTCATTATCACTCATTTTTTCATAAAACTTTGTAGGAAATACGGCGACGTTTGAACCTGACAGAACTTTGTCATTAAACAATGCATAAACAATGCCTTAGAAACCGATTACCAGAACATTTTAAAAAATGTTTAAAAATAAGTAATAATAATAACATGAAAATCTCAAATTATCCGCTTTAACAAAAAATCTTGTATGAAATTCGTTGCGAAAAGAGTGTTTTAAGCATTCGACGCATTGTCCAACTCGGTTTTCGCCTGGTTGGACAATTTTGCGCCCCATGCTTAAAACACATTCATTTCGCAACTTGTTACATAAATAGCTATTTTTTTTTATTTTATCGATTTTCTTTTGTGGAGTAATACCGTCTTATACTACAAGTATAGGGAAAAATCTAAAAACTAAGTATACATTAGTAATTAAATCATAAAAATATAGTCTTCATACGGAACCCTGGGTGGGCGAGTCCGACTCGCACTTGTCGATTTTTTTTCTATAATTTGTTTCATCTTGATATACTCTAGTTTTCTTTTTCTCAGGTAAGATTTCGACAGACGATGACAGAAAAGCAGATGACGTCCATACCAATCTATTTATTTCGCTAAAAAAAATTCTTATATTTTTTTTATGTAAATTTATGGATGGGTTTATTGCAGGGTTGTGCCTAATAAGTGTGAAAGCGGTCGATTATTATTGTACAAAGAGTACAAATTTCCGCAAAAATTTATATACAAAAGTTATAGGGTTTTTAAATGCATAACATCTTGTAATAAATTTAAGTATACAGGGTCGGTCATAAAACCGTGGCACATCAAAGATTTTTTTTTTTTTTAAATGGAACCACCTGTATATTATTGGGTAATTCAATACTTCCTTCAATTTTAAGCAAAAATTGTAATACACATAATATAACTAAATCCAACCGTTTCCGAGATATCAAATTTTGGTTTTGAAATATTAAACGAAAATTTGGTAATTTCCAGACTGATATAATCTTATTTTATATATCTATAAAAAAAATAGATATAACTATATATAAAAATTAAAAAATTATACTATAAAAATAAAACTTAAAAAGTAATGTCAAATATCATTAAGTATCACAGTTTCCGCAGAATGGCATCGTTAAACGAAACCGAACACATCGAAATTAATTAAATCGAATTGTTTAAGTGATATTTTCAAAAGTCAATAACTTGGACACGGTTGGTTTGAGGTGCATTAGGTATGTGTATCTATTTTTGCTTAGAATTGAAAGGAGAATTGAAATATGCAATGACCGATCCTGTATACTTAAATTTATTCCGCGCCAATAGACATTTTTATATTAATTTAACTGTTTGTGGTACCTCCTATATTTTACCCAATAATCGACCGTTTCCGTACATACCTATTAGCGACCCTGTATACAATGACATATAACTCCGTCATGCGTCGTTTCTTGTTTTTAACCACTTTTATTGGTTTATTTCAAAAATGACAGACCATATTTCAACTTGGAGTGACGGAAAGATAAACGATACTAGGACGCAGATGCGTATGAACTCGACTTAAGATTTTCCTATAGAAGTTTTGCTTGCCAAATTATAAGTTAGTAAATAATCTGCGTTTTGGTAGATGATGCATTTTGGTTCGTGTTATTAGTTGTGTATTTTGTGTCTTTTGAAGTTAGGTGGAGGAAAAATCGAGGGAAAATTAACTGTAGACTCAGAGCACAGTCTATAGTTATAAAATAATATTCAGTGCCCAGTCTGGCCCCAGGCAGAGAGTTTTATACCAATAAAGTTACTACTGTAAAATGGGGTGAATAGAAACAGTTTCGTAGGCTATTAGCGATATACCGATTGATAAAAATGTGGTATTATTTTCCCGAATATTTTAAAATATGGGTGTTTGTTTGTTCTTTGCGTATTATACATATAATTTGATTTTTGAAAAATATGCGTATAAATATTAAATAAAAATAACATTTGTGTTTCTATTCACCTGCTATTCGGGAGAATAGAAACACACATTGATGTTAAGGTTATTATCTATTCTACTTCCAACAAGGTGATTAGAAACAGTAAATTATTACATATTTAAGTAGGTTTAACAATAATTAACAATACATATAATATAACAACTTACATGTACCAGCTTATGTATTACTTTAAAAATAAATATTTTATTTGTAAAGTTTTCGCGCCATACAAAATAGGTGATAAATCGATCTCACATTTATTGATCAGCTGATTGACAGAAACAGTGCTGCCACAGATAAAAATATAGTTTTTACATTTTATTGTGTATTACCAATGATAGAAAAATTAGATACGTCGACTCTTTTTACTTTGAATATTTTTAATCGTGATTTGATTTTTTTCAGAAATTTTGTTTCTTTTCACCACTATGTTTCTATTCCCCATTTTACGGTATTTAATATCAATAAAGTTCGTATACCATCTCGTATATTGTACTAAAAACTTGAGTAGCTGTAAAATAACGACATCACATGATAGATAAATAATAGATTTTAGTACTGCAGAAAGATAAAGTCAAAAGGTACTGGTTTAAAAAATTAACTAAATTTTAAGGTATAAAATTTGAGTAAGTTAAGTGTTTTATTTATTCCGGTGCAATATTTTTTTTATTTGTACAGAAGTTATATTGATAAATATAATAATAAATGTGGGAAGTTTCTTGAAGTTTGAAAGTAAGAAATAGTTCTTTTATACAGGGAGTTTCAAAAAACATGTGCCATCTCTCGTAGGGAGGTTCCTTACGTAAAAATTAGATTTATTTTTCATATCATATAGGTCCGATTCTGCTTTGTTTTGTAGCTACAGGGTGTTAAAATCTTAACAATCTTTCGATTTATAATAATTTTCTTCCAAGTACTTTTAATGATTTGAATGAAATTTTGGGCATAAAAGATACTATAAGTGTTGCATATTTTAATGCTAAAAAGGTGTCAATAAATTCATCAGGGACGTGCCTATGGGTTATCACTGGATAATTTTTCAAAAAAAACCGTTTAATGCCAAATAAAAGTTATCTCTTGATATTTTGTCCAATTTGGCCTCTTTGATGAGATAACGCAATTTTATTAATCACAATTAATAAAATAATAATAAAAATAAAATGAATACTACATTTAATAAGTTATATATTTTACCTAATTTTTTATTAAATATTGTTACTATTAGTTATTATTACTATTATTCCAGCATACAGCAATTTCAAATAAAAAAATAATGGTATATAAATTATTGCAAAAAACCTAATTTTAAAAAGTTTTAACATCCTGTAACTCTAAAACTAAGCATTTCTATACCCATGTTTATAAGAACTTTTTTTCATATTTTTTGATGAGGCTAAAACGCTAAAAGTACATGGAAGAAAATTATAATAAATCAAAAAATATTAAGACTTTAACACCCTGTAGCTACGAAACAAAGCAGAATCGGGCCTATGTTGATATGAAAAATAAATCTTATTTTTACATGAGGAATCTCCTCACGCGTTTTGGCACTTGTTTATTGAAACACCCTGTATATTTTTTGGTATATGGTATTTTGTTTAAAATGCACCCTTGTTTGTTTTGTATTAACACGTACTTTTTTTAAATAAAATAACTCGATTATATTTTTTTCAATTATATACAGTATTAATACATACACAATATTTTGAAGTAATCACTTGTCGCTCAAATTTTGAATATACTAATTTCCTGCTATGCCTTCTAATGGTACCAACTTATTTCTTTGTAAAATAAAATAAACTATTTTGAAATTAAAATGACAGACATATCACACATCTGTCACTGTCAAGGATTTTGTCGTCGGAGAGACTATAGCATTACTTTTATTGAAGAATTTTGGTCCTTATCAACACACTAGTAGAGAGATGGTTTTTTTAGTCAGATGTCGATCGCTACCATGTTCAATTAAAGTAACAAGAATGGACAGACCAGTCACCTTAAATCTACAAAAAAAGTTAAAAATAAATAGAGCGCAAGCCACGAAAAACGAAACGCTCATAAAGCGATCTTTGAGCCATAGATCAGGTCCGGACGTGCCCGATTTAAAAACGGAGAATTTATCTGCCGGGTCCGAGATTGACCGGTATTAAACTAGAAATTGACCCATTCGACTGTTCTTCATTCACACGCCGTTGGGCAAATCCTTCGGACGTCGCCTGTCCCTGAAGTGGACCGTGCCGGACGACACAAAATACGTTCCTCCTTTTCACTGTGTGTGTGTGTGTATGAAACGATAGGATTTGAATGAAATATTACGGCTTTTTCCAACTTACGAGCGGCTATTTAGGGGCGGCAGAGATATCTTTTGTTTTATTGTCGAGTGGACAAAAACGTGCTGGGTTTTATTTTATTAATGTTTGGCTTAAGGTAGATAAACCTTAAACTTGTGAATGTTTCTTTAATGACATGCTAATATTTACATACATACATACAGCCATTGCTCGCTGACGAGTATTCGACACACATCAGAAGATGGTCACGCAAGGCCTTTCCTTTTAGAATAAGAATTTAGAATAAGTGGGAGGGGGGTTAATCTCTGCGACCTTAGAGATCTATTGTGTCCCCCTTTCTTGAGTTATAACTCATCATACAGTCCCAGGACTTCCTACGGAGACCCGTGTCCCTCACAGTCGAGGAGCTACGACCCAGGCCGGGTAGACGAAACGGTAGCTTGTGTCGCCTGTTGGGTTTAGAGGTAGGAGGTAGGCTCCCGACCCTGGAGGAGAGGTGGTAGCTTGTATGCCACTTGCGGAGGATGGTCTCACGCAAGTAAGTCAGCCACCTCTCCTGTAGTTCTTTTGGGTTTGGCCCCTTGAACTTTCTGTTGTTACTGTTCCCAGTGTCGCTAGGGGATTTCCCCACAGCTTCACCGGTGATGTTTTTATTACTATTATTACCAGATCTCATAGTGTCTCCTAAGGAGTCGCTAGGGGACAATCGGTCCACTTCTACAGAGCCCCGCATGTAGAAGTAAGGGGTAAAATACAATGGGTGCCCCTGGTGCCCCAAGGTTGAGGCTGTCCGTAGCCCCGCCCGGTATCGTTATATATCTTGGTGCAATTCCCTGGCCACGACACTACAGTCAGAGACAAGACGATGAGTGAGATGCTTCTTAGACCAAGCCAAGTGCTAGGGGGGATTCCCCCCAGCACCTGACCAGGAGCTTCCCCACCAACGACAAGGTCTTGCATCTCCTAGGGGAAGGAACCGCGGCCTTTCCTTTCATGAGCTTTTCTGTGACTGAAAAGCCCGAGAGGTGATGTTATCTGCCTACCGCACTGCGGACATTCAAAAATCTCATTGCTTTGTTGCCTCTTTTCTTTTTGGTTGTCGCTGTTAACTGAGTTTACAATTCTTCTCCATTGGGTTCTATTGTAAGCTGCTTCTTCCCACTCATTCTGCATGTTAATCCCCTTTAAGTTTTCATGGAAAATGTCCCTGTATTTTTTCAGTTGTCCACCCAAACGTTTCTTTTTTCTTACAATACAAGTGACGAAATACCTATAGGACTTTTCTGAAGAGAAACAAATCAGTATCATTAATTAGAAAAGCATCGCTCTAAGATCTAAAAACCTTAAAAAAAGATATTTGTGCACATATAATATTTATTATAATATAAAAATAAATGTACGGAAAGCTGCGCGATTCAAAAACATATCAGACTAAAATAAAAAAAATTGGCGCCGGGAGGCACGTATAGCCGCCCATACTAAAATATGTTAATATCTCGAAAACTGCGACTTTGACTGATTTTGATGTTATTACAAACAAGGTTTTTCCCGCGACTACGTTCGCGTTACACCTCGAATAGTTCATGCATTGATTTAAATGATTTACTTTGTATATAGAGCTAGTGAGCCTTACAAATGCCCTATTTAAACTATGTTTTTAAGAGTTTTAGAGCTACTCGTATTTCATATGAAAGTTATCAATTGTCGATTTTCTGGGTATTATACAGGGCAAGTCTTAAATAAGTGCAAATATTTTCAGGGCTGGTAGATCTCGATAAAAAAACATATTTTCTCTTTACCGTTATTCAAATAACTCTTCCGAATTACTTTAAAAATTTCCAAAAAAAAAAATATTTTTGCTTAAATTTTGAGAACCACTGCAGCTTTTCGGGTTTTACTGTCTTGTAAATTTAATCTACTACCTATCTATGTTGCCATATTATCAAGAAATTATGGTTTTTAACTAAAAACTAAAAAATCAAAAAAAAGTTTTTCAAAAATTCCAAATTTCCAAAAAAAATTCATGAAAAACTCATAATCGTGTTTCTGGGGTCAAATATACCTACTACCGCCAAGAATAATTGTAAACTTATCTAAGACTCGCTCGACAAAAAATGATATTGTTATTTTTGACTTATTACATATTTTTTACTTAAAATTTATAAAAAGCCGTCAATAATCCAATTTCAAGAGCATTTTTATTCTCTTTAAATATTATTGTACTTGTATGTATTATGTACTTAAGAAAATTCCAAAATTTAAAAACCGTTTTTTATTTTTTCATCGCCTGTATATGACTTTATGACACACTTTGTATACCAAAAATAAAACTTTTGATTAGAGCCGCTTGAAATACTGAAATAAAAAATTGTAATAATTCTAGAAGTTATCGAAATCAAAGTATTTCAAAGAAGTTCAATTTTGGCCACAAAATGTTTTTGAATTCTTGCTTTTTTTAACACTTTTTTTTCAATTTTTTTAACTACTTCCATTGACTGAAACTAATTATGTATGGTTGGATAGAGGGTGGATGGCGATCTTCCAGGGTGGTTTTTTATTTCTTATTTATATATAGATTATTTTCGAAATCGAACCAAAGTCAATTTCAAAGAAATTTTGCAAAATCTGAAAAAATAAAATCTCTCCAAAATAATAAATAGAGAAATGATTATTTACCCTCTATAGATAGAACCCCTACCTATGGTCCCATATAAACTGTATTACTAAAATAAATAGTTTTGAAATATGAAGTTTTCAAATGAATATTTGAAATTTTTAATTGTCGCTTTACTTAATATACTCCCTTGATATTTTTTTTATTCTTCATCTTTTTGGTTTATTAAGAGCACTAATACTATATTTATAGTTATTTTTTATTCCTTGAAGGATAATTGAAGAAGAAATATTTCGTTTATATTATTGATGTGTCACTAAATAAACCCTTGTATAAAATTTTATACTGCTAGATGTTATAATAATACATTTTCGTACAGCAAACTTTCATTCCCTATTCTACTCCCTAAGATTATAAATTTCATAAAATCGCTTTATCTAAATAATTTACTCATGTCTTTTAAATGATCCTTTGTGCCAATTTTTGTGTGTATAATCCAGAGGTCACCAAGTTTTATATAAATTTTTACTAACTTTACCCATTTGGTTGATGAATTTCAAAAATCTCTTCTAATTCTTTTTGTAGGATTTCATTCTTCTAGACCACATAGTAAGGAATTTTCATACAACAAATTGCTCCGACATAATTTTACTCTCTAAGAGGATGAATTTCCTAAAATCGCTTTGTGTAGCTAATTCACTAATGTCGTTTAAACGAACCTTTGTTCTAATATTTATGTATCTAAAGCGGGCTGTATGAACTGATCCCTAAAATATCTAAAAACTTGATATATAATCTAACTGACAAACCACTCACAATGACAAATAATTTATTTCTGGAGGTATTGTGTGTAGGTGTTTTTCAGGTATGTTTTAATATTTAGTCAATTTACACAAAGAAATAGCCATTCAACAATTTAAAAATACTTCATAACAAATCTAAACATATATACCTTTCATTTAAAAAAAGAATTATCAAGATTGGTAAAGCAGTTTGGGCGGGATGGATGTAACAAAAAAAACATACATAAAAGCTCAAAAGCCCTTTGAGCTTTTATATATGTATGGATTTTGTTGCAAATATTTTTCCTAATCTTAATTTGAAAACCGCATTTCGCTAGCTACTGTAATTTTGGAGTTACGATTTTTTTAAATTTTTAACCCCCTCCCATACCCCCTTACCAACCCCCACACCAACCAAAAAATAATGGCCAGATTCTCGGGTGCCACAGTATTTTTATGCCAAATTTGGTTAAAATGGATTCAGCGGTTTTTGAGTTACCGTGTTACAGACGGACAGACGGACAGACAGACGGACACCACGAAAATATTTTGTATTTAGGTCATTTATGATCCAAATAACTCATTTTGAGTGAAATTAAAAAAAACTTTTTTTTTTCCGATCCTAATAGCCTACCATACCTATTGGTATGGTTGGCTAATAAAGTAAATCTAAGATTATTTGTAAAAAATATTTAAAAATAAATGCGTAGGTCATGGTGTGCTTTAAGTATGTAATTATATTCAAGACAATAGATTAAGAAACATATATAAAAACAACTGTGAGAAATAAATTTCGAAATATCTAAATGCAAAAATGCAATTTCTATCTTGCAAATTTTTATTTTTAGATCAACCACTTGATATTTAGTCATATAAATATGCCTTCTGTAGCTAGGACATCACAGTTTATCAAAAGATTCAGCAAGAATGAGGGTTGCAATAGTATTAGCAGTATTTTTATTTGTGTCACTGGCTACTATTCAGGTAAATCTCAATATTTTGTAAATAATTTTTATTTAATTAAATTGCAGTTTAAATATAAATAAATAATGATTTTAATTTAGTACGAAATATTTTCTATAATATTATTATATTTTTTATAATAATATTTTTTCAGACCAGCGAGGCTTTCAGTTTATTTGGATGGTTTAAGACAGCAAAACATGATCCTTCAGCATTGTCCTTTGAAGGCAGTGTTGAAGATGGAGACCTTCCCCCTTTACCTACTATCACACCTTTTCCACCACGACCTACCGGAAAGCCTTCACCAAGGCCACCTCCTTCACCAGAACCAACACCGTTGGACTAACTTCCATCACCATCGTCAGATATTGGACTACCAAGTTTTCATACATCTCTGGCAACTTCTGCATATAATTTGACATAATTGTTATTGTATTGTATGTAATTGTTTCTATTATATTACTATTATTAATTTACATACTATTCTATTTGTATGTAATTCTTTCTTTTTGAATATATTTAAAAATATATTATTTACATGTTTTATTAATGCTGATGTAAAATTAATTCCTTGGTAGAGTACGCTGGCTGTAGAGATATTTAGGTAGATATTAAGGTATTTAAGAATGAAGAAAGTTTAGTCAGCATAAGTAAGTCACATATTTTCCTATACAAGAACAATAATTATTTATGTCAAAATTTTATTATGTTTAGACGAAAACTACTTGAATCCTATTTCTTAAATTTTAATTATAAATAACATAATTTTAAATACAAAATATATTAAAACTTCTCATTTAATTATTATACTCTGTAATTCGATTCTGTGTCCAGGGCTGCTTCTTTGTGGAACTTTGCTTTCTTTTCATATGTGACAATAAAATGAATTTAGATCTTTATAATAATCGTCCTCAACCATGCTCTATTTAACAGAGTTATCACTTAAATAATGATCACAAAACATTATTTTCAAATTTTGAAAGAGAAGGATTCCGAAAAGAGAAAAATTCAAGAAATGTCGTTGGATAAATTTATTAGGTTAGTTATACCAATCCCGTGTAAAATGTTTTGTGCAATTTGTCTAGTTTTCATTAGGCATCTTGTAAAGCGACTGAAAACAGATAGGGTCTTTGTAAAATATACTTCTTTTGTTAAAAACTCCGGCTTTTTATAATATGCCTAGAGTTTTTGCAAAATGCCGAGTTATTCGATACGCCTGCGATATATATACTTTCACTCTTACCCCTCAGGAACTATCAAAAACAGAAAATAGCCATCTTTTCGGATATGCAAACAGCACAAAAACGATCATCTCAGTAACCAACAATTCGAAGTTGGAAAAAGAAAGCCCAGAGAGGCTGAACAAATTAGGTAAAGAAAATAAAGTCCTTCTACGCTGGGTGACCTCTTACCAAGGGATAGAAGGCAATGAAACCAAAGCAAACGATCTAGCTAGAAAAGGAGCGAACACTCCACTAATTAGACCAGAACCGTTTTGCTTTTTAAACCAGCTTAAAATGGAACTGAAGAACTTGGAGGACTCCATCCGTAACCTAGAATGGTGGAATCTGGAATGGGTAACGGCTCACCAATGAATAGAAGGCAATGAAAAAGCAAAACTATCTAGCTAGAAAAGGAGCGAAACTCCACTGATTGGACCAGAACGGTTTTGCTTTCCAAGCGTAAACCAACTTATATCGAAACTCAAGAACCTGGAAGACTCCATCTGTAACCTGAAATGGGAATCTTCCAACCGGTCTAAGACACTCGAAATAGTTTCTCAGAACGACCGAGAAAAATCAAAGATTTTCCTTGATTTAAGTAAGAACAATCTTGGGATTGTCACGGGGTTTCTAAGAGGACACTGTCTCCTCAAGGAACACCTCAGTATATTGACGCTACCCCCTCAGGCTGAGAAACAACGGCGAATGCAGATTATGTGGGAAAAATGGGGAAACACTAGAACACGTCATCACTGAGTGTGCCGAAATGATAACCGTTCGTGCCATAAACTTTGGTACGGCTGATGTCGGAGACTGTTTGGCCTCTGTAGAGCCGTTTGAGATACTTGCTTTTGTCAAAGCCCTAAAACTGTATAATGAGTTATAGCTCATTATAACTCAAAAAAGGGGAACACATAGTAGAGATTTGTAAGGTCGCGATGATTAACCCCCCCAAGCAGCATTTGGACGTCGGGACAACGTTGTGTCACGCGAACAAACGTCGGGGCGCAACGTCGGCACAACCTCGTGCCAACCCTAGTGTGCACTAGTTTGGAGAATAATTTTTAGGTCGAAACGACGTTGGATACCGACGTTGGCTAGAAGCCTAATTTAGTACAAACTGCAACGTTGTTTAAAATCCTAATTCACAGAAATACAAAACTAATATGGCGTCTAAGTCGCGTTTTATCCTAAATTGGGATAATTATAGTAAAAATATTATTTTTATGATTTAGTTAGAGACATATGCCAGATGGCAGTAAAGGAAAACAAAACAAAAGTATTTAAGTGTGGAGGATGTTTGAAGATTATAATTATTGAAACACTTTAACCGACTCTGTAACTCGTTACCCAAGGCAAAAAGTTAAACGCAAACAACTTTATTGATAAATGTATTGTTTCTACTTTGAAAAAATACTAATGGGCCTAAAATTAAAGAAGTTTTAAAAATTTCCCTGAATTTTTTTTTAGTAAAATGAGAATAATTTATTCGCAGTCGAAAAAATGTTTCCCCGTGTTTTTTAGGGTCAAATATTTCAAGTTAATGTATTCAAAAACAGGAATTGCTATTTTAAGAACGAAACATTTGCTTATTTAACAACATGGCGGCTTTCACTTTGTTGTTTTGGAGATTAAGATGGAGTAGTTCGAGTAGTCGCATACTGGACTAATAAAGTCGCAGTTCAGCCTTAACAGGTAGTATACTAGTCGCAAGATTGCCTAATTTAGTCATCCTAGAGTCTAGCTTGTGCCGCCCTCTATAATCTAAATAAACGAGGGAGTGGATAACTATCGGTAATATATGTCGATGTATATTTAAATTTAGTTTTATATGTACCTTTCTTATGTCCCATTTTAATTAAGTTTTTTTTTTATAAAAACAAAAACAGCACTGAACTGTCTGACTGAACAGAACAATGAAGTGAAAATTTAAGATTTAAGGTTATGGTTCAATACAGTTGCAAAAAGGTAGTGACTCGACGTCCTACCAACGTAAGAATACGGAAATCTAAACAACGTTGGAATTAGCAAAACAAACGACGTTTGCATAACGTTGGAATAGGTCCTGAAACTGACGTCGGAAAACTCAATATTGTCCAACGTTGTAACTACGTTGTCCGAATCACCTAAAGATCACTTAAGCAAAAAAGTTAAAAAGACAAGGTTAAAAGACAACGTTTATTTGACGTCGCAGAAGCTTCCTACTTTGCTGTAGTACTAGTCCAACGTCGACACAACGTTATAAAAACGTTTAAATTTATTTTAATACCCAAGGTAGGGAGCTAACTATTTTTTGTAACTAATCCAACGTTGTGTTTAGTAAACATGTGGTCGCAAGTCGTGAAAATGCTACTTGGGCCCTCCTAAATATTCTACATTCTACAATATAGAAGCATTTTTCAACTAAATGAAAAGCAAAAACAGCTTCTTTTGGTTTATTTTCGGAATTAGAATCAAATATAATTTCAGCTCAATTGGAAATCCACACGGCTATATTATAGAACAATGGGTAATTTACAAATATTAACAGACAAGTACACCCTCCTAAACATTCTACCACCCTGAGGGTAAGAATTCCCAAAATTGCTTCTTAGTGCTCAATTACGTCACTTAAAGAATCTCTGAGCTAAATTTCATGCTCCTAGAACTGATTTTAGCGTATTTTGGATAAACGTTTATCCCTAATTTTACCCCTTTGAGGGATAAATGTACAAAAACCGTATCTCAACACTCCATTACGTCACTTAAAAGACCTCTGTGCATAATTTCGTACTCATTAGGACACATTTTATTTTTTTCACATTTTTATATTTCGAAAAATCACAAACTAGTGTTCAATTATATTTTCTTAGAAACCCCTGTGCAAAGTTTTATACATCTAGAACGGATTTTAACAAATGTTTACTTTCACCCATGATTTCACCCCCTTTTCCAAAATGACTTCTTATTGTTTAAAAACCACTCAAAGAACTTCTTGCGAAAAAAATTCGTATTTGCTAATACTGATGGTAATATAATTTAAAACATAATAAAAGTAAACAGTTATCAAAAAACGAATGTAAATAGATTTTTGATTAGACCACATTTAAATTAATTAGATTTTAGACAAGGAATTGTGAAACATATTAAGATATTTGAATGCAAGAAAACATATTTTGAAATAGGTACCTATATGTTTAAAAATATGCAAGATAAAACACAGCCTACTTAATATTTACAAGTATAAAAAGCCATTTTCTCCCGCAAAGATATCACAATCGAACAAAATTGTCTTTAAACATGAAGTGTTTAACATTGGCAGTATTTGCAGTTGTGGTTCTGGCGACTATCCAGATATTATTAAATATTTTCTTAACAATTTATTATTGTGTAGAATTTTTTGAAAAAAAAAAATTATAATGGATTAAATGTTTGAATTATTTAAATTATTATTGATATATTAGAATTATTAATAATTATTTTATATACTTTTTAAGGGAAGTGAGGCATTCAGGATATTTGGACGACATAAGGAAGCAAAACACGATCCTCAAGAGTCGGTCCTCGAACGCAGTGTAGTAAAAGAAAAACTTTCTCCAGCTTCTAACAATCCTTCTCCACCTCCAAGACCGACAGGAAGACCTTCTCCACCGCCACCTCCTTCACCACCCTCGACACCATGCGATTAACCTTCAACCGATACCTTCAATTAAGTTCCTTTATATACCTCAATAGACTACCCATCTATTTTAAAATGTAATATATGTTTATTTTCGGAATATAATGAAATATGAATGTGACGTTTTATTAATATGTTCCTTTATTTACAAAAATATGTTCCCTATAAGTCCTAAAATACAAAAGATTTACCATGAAAACAAATAGAGCTAAATTTATAATTTATAAAGTGTATAAAAATGCTTCTTTATGGTTGATTTGCTGCAAAATATGAATATCTCGTCATTTTCAAGTTTTAGAAAGAGAAGAACGTCAACAATAAGATAGATAAATAGATGAAATAATCATTGAAAATAGTATATCACACAAAACTTCATATGCATTTTGTTTAGCTAGGCAAATTTTGTTAAGTAAAAAGTCATGAAAAAATTTCTGTCGCGGATTCTATGATTGTACCAGATCTAGAATCAACCAAATCAGAATCTAGAAAATATTGTTATACAGACGATATAGCCATAGCAACTGAACATGATCGCTATGACAAACCCAAGAAACGCTAACAAAAAACAGACGTGGATACATTCCATCTTAATAACAAACTGGCGAATACTGAGATAAGCGTCCAGTTTGGTAACACCATCCTGCGTAATAAC